TACAAAGCTCGTAGGAAGCTTCGTCGAAAAATTGGAGGTCAATTTTTAGATCCCAAGAAACTTAATTTCGACATTATTTTTTCTTCCAAACATCTCTAAATGATCGAAATAAAATCAATAAACACTTTTAAAGGCTTAAAAATCATTTTAATGCATATTAAAACAAAAAAAAATAATTCTATCGATTTTTTTTTCTTTTTTGACTTCAATCTACATCCTCAAATTATTTAATGGTTTAAAACCACTATGAACAAACTCATCTCTCAAAGATAAAAAAATATAATGGAGTTTTTCGCCGGCCAAAGTGGTCTAAATAAGGCTGGCCTATGCTTTCTCTCCTCTCATCTCTTTCTTCTTTCCATCATTCTCTCTACACTTCGAGATTAAAATGTATCAACAAACGAAGATATGGATCGAAACGAAGCGTTTAAAAATATTAGAGACCAAAGTATAAAAATTTGTATAACTTCAATATTATTGCCCAAGAAAGTTCATAAAAATAACAAAAAAAAAAAAATCAAACTACAATAAATGAATAGCGATGAATAGTTAACACCTTAGTTTTTTAGTTTTTTTGTTAATAACTTTGTTTATTTATCAATTAATATCAATATATTTCAATAAATGCACTTGGTTGCAATATTATTTATGATGTGGATTTGATAAATAAATTTATGGGATTACATCCTTTAAAACTCACCCATAAAAGATAAGTAAGCTACCTCCCTAAAACAAAGTGTTTTTTTTTTTTTTTTTTGTTTTTAACACTTAATGTGACTTTTCCTAATCTCTAAAAGATTTTCGCTTTCAATCTTTCTATTAACTTTTTGAAACCTCCTATTTCCCTCTTCTTTTTTTTTTTTTTTTTGAAACAACGTCTTTTTTTTCGGATTTTTTTTTTTTTTTACTCTTTTTAATCTATGTATCTTGCCATTTTGTCGTTTACAAATCAATGGGTGCTTTGCTATAACTATTAAATACGGTCATCTTATGTCAAAGAAATTTAGTGCCAGTTTCTCTTTCTACGTGTCTTTTCTTCCTCCACAACTATGCGTGCAGATGATCATGAGATACCTCACTAAAAATTTATTATTTTTTATTTAGTTTTTCCTTTTTAAGTTTTTCGCGTTTTTGGTTATATTTTTTGTTTATCGGTTATGAGGTTTAGTTTGATTTTGTTTTTCAAAAAAAATAGTAATCATCTCAAATTAAGCGTTGTTCCCTCCTCTTTTGACATGGTATATTGGCAAATGGAAATTGAAATATAAAAAGATTGCTAACCTTAGTGGTAATTACGTGTTTTTCTAACTCTATCTATCAACGGTACGGCACGGTGTTGCCGATGCATATATTTTAAGAGGAGATGATGGAGGAGGATAAAAACTCTAATGTTGCTGAACAAGTGATGGTAGGGGTGTCACATAAAGAAGAATGAAAAGGCAACACAGGATCCCTTGGTAGCAGTGGTGGCAAGATAATTTTTTTCCCCCTCTTTTGCTTCTTTTTTCCGTGGTTGGATATATAAGAAAAAATAGAGGGGGGGGGGGGGGGGGTGTTTGTGGGGGACAAAGAAAGAGAGAAAATTGTACAATAGATAATCTTAATTACAAATAATATCTTGATGTCCAGACAAGTCTATATAATATTACTAATAGCACACACGTCAATATGCGATCATAAAATTAGAAAAATGCTTTCATATAGAATTAGAATTAGAAATATAAAATAGGACTCGATTTAGAGATTTTAGGATAAGTAGTTAGTTATGCCTTTGAAAATATTTCAATCACCCAAAAGCACCATTTTCCAAATAAAGATACCATATTCTGTTTAATTCTAAAAGTTCATCTCCTAAAAAATTTCTAATTTTGTCAAAATTATTCCTAAGTCAAATTCTAAGTTTATTACCTAATTCAAATTGTTTTTTTATTTTTATTTATTCCATCGTATTGAATCGATTGTCGGACCTCGTCGCCGAAAGTCTTAGCAATTTAACATCGGATTTGATTTAAGTTTCGATATAACCAGTATGTTAGAGAATGATCTAATTACTAGGGTGATAGATTTAAATTAATTAATAACATCAGTTTCAATTAAATAAGAGACTTAAAATTCATCTAGCATTTCTCTTTTTTTTTTTTTTGTGTTTTTCTTTTGCTTCCTTTTTTATCCTTTTTTTTTTTTATCATTTTCATTCTTATATATATATATATATATATATATATATTAAGGTTAGTAGAGAATCATAATCGGATTCTAAAAATTAAAAGACTCAATGATCCACATATTAATTACCTAATTTAACTAATGATTATTTAAGCAATACTCAAATTTTAAGTAAATATGACATTAAATTGACAAAGCCTACACACATGTATAGGAGTCTAAAATTTACAACCATAATTTCATATTCAATTAATACTAAATTCTAAGCTAAACTAAAATTTAAATACCAAGAGAAATTAATAATTAAACATTAAACTAAATAATAACAAGTAAAAAGAGTTCAAAAATTCTAAAAAATTAAATCTAGACTAAAAGTGGAAATATGGAGCATGCATAAAATTTTCAGATTTTATTGACCTAGGAAACTAGCTAAAAACAAATTATTAAAAATATCATATATATTCCATTATGTCAAATTATAAATAAAACTAAAAAAGAAACAACGATCTATTTTCTATATTTTCATACTTAATTTCATGATAAAAAAATATAAAAATAAATTATTGGATGAAAAAAAGCCAAAAAAAAAAGGAAAAAAGTCTGGCACGTGCGGCTAGGCTAGGCTAGCTTAGGTGGGCCTCCGAGAAAGGCCTAGGTTGCTAGCCAACCCAAAGAAAAAAAAAGGCTAGGCATGTGTGGCTAGGCTAGCCCCCTCACCCCCTAAAAAAAAAAAGACCTATAAATCCCGACGAGCTCCAGCTCGTCGAAGCTTCGTCAAAAAATTTGAGGTCAATTTTCGGATCCTAAGAAACTTAATTTCGAAATTACTTTTTCTTTCAAACACATCTAAATGATCGAAATAAAGTCAATAAACACTTTTAAGGCTTTAAAAATCATTTCAATGTACATTAAAAAAAACATAATCATATTGATTTTTTTTTTTTTTGACTTCGATCTACATCCTCTAATTATTTAATGGCTTAAAACCACTATGAACAAACTCATCTCTCAAATCTAAAAAAATCTAATGGAGTTTTGCCAACTCGATGCTTTCTTTCTCTTCCTGTCTCTCTTCTTTCTTCCCTCCTTTCTACATTTAGGGACCAAAATATGTTAGCAAATGAAGATATGAATCGAAACCAAATATTTAAAAATATTAGGGATCAATGTGTAAAAATTCGTATAACTTCGATATTATTGCCTAAGAAAGTTCAAAAAATAACAAAAAAAGATCAAACTATAGTAAATGTATAGCGATGAACAATCAACACCTCGGTTCTTTTATGTTTTTAATTAATAACTTTGTTTATTTATTATCGATTAATATCAATATATTTCAATAAATGCACTTGGTTGCAATATTATTTATGATGTGGATTTGATAAATAAATTTATAGGATTACATCCTTTAGAACTCACCTATAAAAGATAAGTAAGCTGCCTCCCTAAAACAAAGTGTTTTTTTTTTTTTAAAAAAAAAAAACTTAATGTGACTTTTCCTAATCTCTAAAAGATTTTCGCTTTCAATCTCTCTATTAACTTTTTGAAACATCCTATTTCCTATTTTTTTGAAACGACGTCTTTTTTTAGGAATTTTTTTTATTCTTTTTAATCTATGTATCTTGCTATTTTTTGTCGTTTACAAATCAATGGGTGCTTTGCCATAACTATTAAATACTTTCATCTTATGTCAAAGAAATTTATTGCCAGTTTCTCTTTCTACGTGTCTTTTCTTCCTCCACAACTATGCATGCAGGTGATCATGAGATACTTCTCTAAAAATTTATTATTTATTATTTAGTTTTTCCTTTTAAGTTTTTCGCGTTTTTGGTTATATTTTTTTGTTTATCGGTTATGAGGTTTAGTTTGATTATTTTTTTTTTTAAATAGTAATCATCTCAAATTAAGCGTTGTTCCCTCCTCTTTTGACATGGTATATTGGCAAATGGAAATTGAAATATAAAAAGATTGCTAACCTTAGTGGCAATTGCGTGTTTTTTTAACTCTATATATCAACGTTACGGTACGGTGTTGCCTATGCATATATTTTAAGAGGAGATGATTGAAGAGGATAAAAACTCTTAACGTTGCTGAACAAATGATGGTAGGGGTGTCACATAAAGAAGAATGAAAAGGCAACAAAAGATCCCTTGGTAGCAGTGGTGGCAAGATAATTTTTTTCCCCCTCTTTTGCTTGTTTTTCCGTGGAAGAAATGGTTGGATATGTAAGAAAGAATAGAGGGGAAAAAAAGAAGCAAAAAACAAAGAAAGAGAGAAAATTGTATAATAGATAATCTTAATTACAAATAATATCTTGATGTCCAGACAAGTCTGTATAACATTACTAATAACACACACTTCAATATGCAATTATAAAATTAGAAAAATGCTCACATATAGAATTAGAATTACTATATATGTCACATAGTTTATGTAAAGTATTATTACTTAGTTAATTAATTATATACACATTTTGAAAACTAAACTAAGAGTATCCGAACATATAGTGCGGGAAAATGACTAGTTAAAAAGGATTAAGAACGGTGTATAATAAAATTCTCAAAATTGACTTGTGTATATCACGGGTCTCCACAAAATATAGTAGCCATGTTTGAGTAAGATTACACGCGCTCGAGTAGGGTCTAGCCAAACCGTTACGATAATGAGATGAAAAATCTGGTGGAAGTTGCCTTCAATAAAGACAGATATGTGGCAACCAAAGGCCAATAGATAGCTATCCTAAATAAGAAACAAGAAGAACTTAAAAGAGTACGTTCAATTTGCAAAATCTCTTTCAGCCTAATTAATTCCATTCGTTTCCATTCATCATGAAAATGTTAACCACCCTTACTCTTTCCTTTTGCCTCATTTTTGGTTTCAATGTTGCAATAGTTTCGACAAATCCTTTGCAGTATGATTCTATTTTCAACTTTGGTGACTCTCTCAGTGACACTGGGAATTTCCTCCTTTCTGGTGCGTTGGCTTTTCCTGTGATTGCAAAGCTCCCGTATGGTGAAACCTTCTTTCGACACGCAACAGGCCGGTGCTCCGATGGACGTCTTGTTGTTGACTTCATCGGTACATATATTTACATGACATCTCTTCGATTTTATTACTTTGAGTGCTTAAATTAACCGACTGATCTACACATTTTCAAAACCCTTTTTGTTTTTTTTTTTCCTTTTTGTGTGATCATTAAAATGTAGCTGAGGCATCTGGGTTGCCACATTTGCCACCCTATCTAGCACTTCGAAAAGATCAGCTGCATTCCTTTCATGGAGTAAATTTCGCTGTTGCTGGTGCTACTGCTCTTGATGCTAAATTCTTCTACGACCAACGTATTGGACAAATTTTGTGGACAAATGATTCGTTGAGTGTTCAGCTTGGATGGTTCAAACAGTTGAAGTCCTCTCTTTGCACCACCAGACAAGGTGAGAGTGACAGAAACCTGTAACTCATACTCGTAAGTGATTTACCTTAACGTATGCTTTTTTTTTTAATCCTTTTTAACATCAGAATGTGATAATTACTTCAAAAAATCGCTATTTCTCGTGGGAGAGATTGGAGGAAACGATTATAATTATGCCTCCTTTGTTGGTGGAAGCATTAAACAACTCAGAGCTTCGGTGCCTCTTGTTATTCAAGCAATTACTAAGGCTACCAGTGTAAGTTGCATCATATTAATTACATCAAAGACTGATTTAAAAAAAACACCCAAAAAAAACAAAAAAAAAAAAAGAGAGAAAATAATTACAATTTTTTCGCTTACCTGTAAAATTAATATTCTCTCTCTTAATTATAACTTTTTACGTATGTGGGATGTGGGATATGGTTTTAGTTTTTGATAGAGGAAGGAGCAGTAGAATTGGTGGTGCCAGGGAATTTGCCGATTGGATGCTCAGCAGTGTATTTGACCTTGTATGGAAGTCCTAACAATACAGACTACGATCGGAATGGGTGTTTAAAAGCTTACAATGCTTTCTCCAAGTATCATAACAATCAACTCAAAAAAGCCCTGGATATGCTGAGACGAAAGTACCCACAAGCTAGGATAATTTATGCTGACTACTATGGTGCAGCCATGCGTTTCGTTCACGCACCACAACATCATGGTGAGTTTTCTGAGTTATTTATTAGTTCTATTTGGCCAAAAAAAAAAAAATCTTATGTTGATGATAAAAATTTTAATTTCATTTATAAGGCAATAGACTTATATATATATGTATATATACACACACTCTTACTATTTGCTACTAATAATAGAAGAAAAATAAAACAAAGGACAAAGCAGGGGGAAATGTCCTACCTATAATCGACTCAGGTTGGGTCACATGTAGCGACCGTCAGAAATTTGTGTCAACATTAGGACTTCCTAGACATTTAAGAGGCCAGTTTGATCCTGTGAGAGTAATTATTAGAGTACCAGATTTTTTCATGTATCACCTAAAAAAGAAGAAGAGACCACTAGTACCACCTCCGGTATTTAATGCGTCCCCTCTCCAAATTGATGATCATAATCCCCTTATAAAAGTGAACAATAGTATAGCTGGTAATATAAGAGGAATATATTGCCTCCATTTGCATTTGTCCAACACCACACATTAAGATTTTTTCAGTAGCAAAATAATAACAATGATAATAATCATAAAAAAAAACCAGTTGATATTGAAGTATAATACAGAGGATATTGCAAGAAAATTTTTAATGTACGCCCTTAAAACATCTAATTGCAGATATATATATATATATTTAATCTATGAAAACTGATACATGCAAATATATGTTTATCATTCAAACAAAAAAGAAAACTAGTTTAACGAACTCCATTTTGGATCATCAAATCATTTATTTGAATTGTGAAGATGTACAAATTAAACCAGCGGCATAAAAGATTGGCAAGTTATTAAGAATCTGTATTAATTTGCAGGATTTTCGAGTGGGACTCTCAAAGCTTGTTGTGGAGGGGGTGGACCATATAATTTCAATAACTCAGCAAGGTGCGGGCACATCGGTTCAAAAGCATGCAGCAATCCGTCCAGCCACGCAAATTGGGATGGGATTCACTTGACAGAAGCTGCTTATAGGTATATTGCCATGGGTTTGGTCAACGGCCCTTTTACTATACCACCCCTCAGAACCTCTCTTAAATCTTTAGCGTGATTGCAATTATGGGTCTCAACTCTATTGAGTGATTTATTGGTGAAGCCTATCGTTTCCGTTTGTAGAAGTTTGATGATGTTCTATCATCTGCGCACCAACTTTGTCAGATTGTGTGGCTGGTTCCAAGCCTAGTTTTTGTATTGGAATATTTCGTTTGTCAAAAAAACTTAGAAAAGGATTTTTAATCCAACAATAAACATGATATTCAAGGTCAGCTGTTTTTCATCCTTTAAAGTGTATGTTGATAATTCCCTTTTTTTTTTTTTTTTTTTTGAAATATTAAGGATAGTTTATACCCATAAGATTTTTCAATACACCGAAAAGGTATCCTCTCATGATTTTTTGCGTCATGTTTTGTTATATTTGTTAAATTTAAATAATTAAATAGATATGATTCGATATAAGATAAAAATAATAACAATTTAACTCATCATTATTTTATTTCTTTTATCTAATTCAAATAAATAAATTCAAAATTAATTGTAAAATTTGTAACAAAACGGATCCTGTTCTTTAAAGAAAATAAGAGGAACCAAATTTAAAGAAAATCATCTAACAAATAAGAAAAAAGTATAAAGATCCAGCCCATATTACCCCATCGGTATCTAAAAATTTATTACCCCATCCAATTGCAACATGTAGTCCTAAGCCACTAACCTAATGCTGTTCCGCAACTTACTGAAAGCCTAAAGTATATATATATATATATATATATATATATTCTACATTCTACATCCAATGGAGTTAATTACCTTTACTACATTTTGTTTTGTGTTAATGATTGCAGAGGGTTTTTTTTTACTTTATCATATTCTTCTATGTTTTTTGGTTTGATTCCGTCAATCTATTTTTTTTTATTTAATCACATTTGCTATTAACTTTTTAGATTAATGATTTTAAATCACATCGTTAATGTCATAAAATTGCAACGTGTGTCATTTTTTTCCGTCTTAATCTAGTATCTCTACTTTTTTTTTTATCAAATTTAAATAAATTCATTTTGAAAGAAAAAAAAGATGAACATAAAAAAAAATTTTACTTAAAAATATCATTTGTTTGTTTAAATTTATCTCTATAATAATACGTAAATTTTAAATATAAAATAAAATATTTATAGTTTTTTCTTAAAAAAAATATCAAGAGTTTTAGTTAAAATTTTAAACTTTTGAATGGTATTTATATTTTGTAATACCTCAAAAGAGTTTATTTTGAACCCTTTTTTTTCAAATATATGGCCATTCTCTCTTTTTTTTAAAAAAAAAAAGTGAAAATAAAAATATTTTTCAGATCCAAAATATTATTTATGGATTTTAATTATCTCTATGATAGTAAAAAAAATTTTGAATACAAAATAAAATATTTATAATATTTTTTTAATATCAATAGAGTTTTTTAATTTTTATATTTTTGAATACTATTTATAATTTTATAATACCTTAAAATAGTATTATCTATTTCTGTTATTTTCACTCTCCATTAGTGCATGTTCTTTTCACGGCTATTAGGAGCATCAGTTTCAATAGTTTATCTTATTTGCTAAAGTTAACTACACTCATCTGACCATTTTTCTAATCGAAAGAGTTCATGGCCCATAGCTTTCTCATCTAAACACACTAATATTTCAATTATTTAATGGGCTTTTTCTAATGCGGCTCAAATTGGTGGCCTAGACAGAATTTTAGGTATAACGTACGCTAGGTAAATTTTATTTGTTTCCTATTGTGCATTAAAGTCACATCATTTGATATGGAATTGTGACCATCTTATTGGGCCGAATTTTCTAAGTAGGATTGAGTTTTTCTGATGTAGTTTAGGTTACTTATTTTCTTATCTTATTGAGGTTACCTACTTTAAGATTTCTATTTTCATATGGATGTTATTTTAAAAAATCCATATTTAATTTAAACAAGATTAATTAGTGTTTATTAAATTTAGATTGAATTTTTTGTCTTTATTTGTTTAGGACTTAGGTTTTTTAGTGGGATTAAGCTAAAGTTTTTATAGTTCAAACTAGTTGGCTTCCCGCACTATGCTTGTGGATTGAGTTAAACATATTTATACTATTAGTTCATAAAAATATATTAAATTAAAGATGAATTTTATCTAATTTTATAATTCTTAATCAAAATTTTGCATCTTTTTTGGTTTACTTTTTAATAATTTTTGTAGTTAAAAAAACACCATTTATTTTTTTTATGTATTTATTCTTAAAAAATTCATAATAATCTAGCTATAAAATTTTTAAAAATATATTTTAATTTTTTAAATATTTTTTTCCATAACATTGTATAGAAGAAATAAAGTAACATAAAACCTTGAACAAAACTGAAAAAATAATTTTTTTTATTCTTGTTTATGATTTTTTTAATTATAACTTAAAATTAGATTTTTTTTATAGGTCATGTCAAATCGAATCTTTATTTTTTTTTCATAATAAAATTTTCAAACATCGGATTCATTTTAAGTTTTGATACAATCGGTGTCTCGGAGAATGACGCAATTGCTAAAAAATAATTTATTTTATCTAACAACGAGTCTCTATCAAATATGAGACTTTCATAAACATTTTATGATTTTTTTTTATTTTCTCTTTATTTATTTATTTTTATTTGGTGGAAGGTCGTCATTAGCTCTTAGAAAATTAGGAGACTTTACAATGCTCCACCTTTTAATTACCGAGTCTAATCACTAAACAAATAAATTAAAGTTACATTAAAAAAATTAAATACCGAAGTCAAAATTAATAACAAACATCATAAAATAAATTCAAGATTAAAATTAAAATAATTACAAAAAATATTAAAAAATATTAAAATCCAAATATAAATCGGACAAACATGCATAAAATAAATTCAAGATTAAAATAATTAAATATAATTTAAAATCTAAAATAAATATTAAATAATAAGCATGCCTAAAATTAAAAATTAAAAGGAAGACACTTTTTTCCTTTTTGGTGCTCGTACCGATCTAACTCAAAAGTTTTTAGGCCGAGCTAGACCGAATCAACCCACCCCAATTATTCATGGGTTGGGCTAAACTCAACCCACATCATTTCATTAAATCCAAGCCTAAAAACACAACCCAACCCCATTTTAAAATAAATCTTGTATCAAAACCCTAATTATTCTTCTTTCTTTCTTCCCCAGTAGTTCTTTCTCTTTCCTTTTTTTTTCTTTTTCTTCCTAATCTCTTGAATCTCTCTCACCATGGACGAACCAACAATGATTCGTCTTTCTTTCTTCCTCTCCCTTTCTTTTTTTTTTTCCTTCCTTTCCTCTTCTTCCTCTTTGCCAAATCCTCTCTCTCTTTCTCTCTCTCTCTCTCTCTCTCTCTTTTATTCTTGCCAAACTCTGCCATGGACGAACCGAACCTGGTTCGTCCATGGTCTCCGTCTTTCCTTCTTTTCTCTTCCCTTCCTTCCTTTCCATCTCTAATCAAAAATCCCTAAATCATTTTTTCAAAACCATAACTCAAATCAATTTTCGCCGAGCCTTAACTTTTCAATTTTTTTTAAAATTTTCTTTCAATTGGTCTTAATTTTCATTCCCTAACCCAATGTTAATTAAATTTCAAAAACTCCCCAAATTTTGTAACAAAACCTAAATTGATAGTAAAATCTAAAATCAAGAAAATTACCTAGTAGATTGATTGAAGATGATATGGATTGCAACTTCGATTCGAGTAAATTCAATCTTTCTCCCTTTTTTTGTTTTGATTTTTCTTATTTTTTTTAGCCACTCGTCAATTTCGAAAATCCTTTCCTCTTAGACTAAATAACTCTGTTTATGTTTGTTGCTATTATTTATTCATGTAATTGTGCTAGTTCTCCACCATGATGGTGTGAGATTTTTTATTATAGGATATAGTGTGAGGTTGGTTATGGCGGTAGGGGAGGCGGTGCAAGGTGAGATTGTGCTACCATACGGGGGAAAGTTGAAAGGAATACGTAAAGAGAGCAAAAGTAATAATGACAGTTTGTAATTAGAAAAGCAAAGAAAGGGTATAAATTAAAGGAGACACTATTGTATGAATAGTGCTGTCCACGATAATTTGTGTGATGGTGAACAGTCTCACCCTTACGTCTTTTAGAATCTTTTCTAATTAGACAAATTTACTTTAGCTTAGGCCACATTTTTTACAAATTATTTAAGGCATTTTATGTTATGTAGAGCGTCATAAGCCAAAATTTCTCCTTTTTTATCCCTATTACCCTCTTTTTATTTGTTTTATTTATCTTTTATTTTGTTTTCATTTTATTTTATTTTACTTTACTAAAAAAAATAAAATAAAATAAAAAATTAGGAAAAGAATAAAAAATAGAAGAAAACATAAAAACACACACAAAAAAAAATCCAAAAAATTGCATGGTATAATTAATTAGGGGCTTAATTGAATAAAATCAACATTGAATTTAGAATAATTAGGGATACAATTAGAACAATTGAAAACCTTATGACTGAAATTAAAGGATACGAGAGGCATGATTGAAGAAATTGAAAGAGCAAAGGATCGAAATTATGTGTCATAAAGGTATAATTGTGGACAATCAAAATTCGCGAGGACTAAATTGAAATTGGGGAGGGAATGGCGAGAACAAAGTCGAGCGCATGACCCGTCATTTGCCATAACCCAAAAACAGCTCCTAAGCTTGTTCATCGTCTTTTTTGTAAATAGAACTCTCCAATTCGGCTTTTGTGATTCTGGGCTGGAAATTGTAGCAACCAAGAATTATGTTGTACCCACTCGCACCACTACACCACCACACACCTTTGCACCACACACACACCGATTTTATCTTTCAATTTTTCTTGTTTTGTTCATAAACGAAAAACTTCAATACTTAGGTTTGATTTATAATGTGCAAAGGTCCAAGTTGTTTAGGGATGATCCTAGGTTAGGAAATGATTTAGGGTTTGGCTATAAATTGACCCTCCATTGCATGGATTAAGAGGGGGAGGATTTTGAAAGATTTGGAGGAGAATTAGGGTCTGCTTTTT